TGTTGTAGTCTGATACGAGTAGAGGTACCTAAAAGGTCAGGGTTGTTAATGTGTTGGAGTAAGTTGGTAATATGATGTTGCAGTTAAATATCCCATATATTATGTACATTGTAGAAATAGGAAGCATAGTGCTGTTGAGTGTTGATCTAGTTAGATGGGATTTTACTTGATAATAGTGAGATATTTGGCTAAAATTTGGTTACATGTAGTATGTAGGAGTATAATATTGTGAATTTGGTATTCTAGGATAGGAAATATTAAATTAGTAGGTTTGTTGGGAGCATTTAGGAAGATCCTTCCATATATTTTATTATTGCATCAAACCTTCTACAAGTGCATGTCGTCGGAGAAATGTGCACTTATGGAAAGAATAAATAAATTATTTTAAAATTTTCGGATCATTTTTATTGTGCTAATCAAATATGTACTTAGAGGAAAAATTATGACAAAGTGCACTTATGGAGAGTTGATCGTATTTACAAGAAAGTCTATTAGTAATGTTATATTATTAAAAAAATCATTTAATAATTTAATTTATTAGGGTAAATTGCTAACTTGCTAACAAAAATATTCATTAAGCTCATTAATACTGCTTATGGGTTCACGACCAATTGAAACTTAATATTTGTACACGAGAATTTCCAAGTGATCATTCGTTAAAATACGTGTCTAATCATTGACATACCCAGTAACTATGATTGTTAAAAAGCTCACTAGAGTCAGTCCTTTAACGCAAAGTCAATTTAGTATGGACACATTGATTCTGACTTATAACTACTTATTATTAATAATATTTGTAATATGCAACATGAATACTGTATATTACCAAATAAAAGTAACTAAAATGTTGCAACAAAATGAGAATTTTTTCAAGAGGTTGCTTATATTTAGACAAATTTTATTGGGTAAAACACAATAACGATAACCTGTCAAATTTTTAGTTTCAAAATTGAGCACGAGAAAATTACCTACTGTACCGTACAACGCTGCATACGGTACCTCTGAAAAGTATCCCTTTAACTAGTATCGCGATACTATTGTAAATTTTAGCATTTTTGGGTACTAATCAAGTACAGTCAATTATGGATATAACATTTTAATATTAGTAATTTATATCCAGAGTTAACTGTATTTAATTTGGCATTTTTGAGATACTGCGCTGTAAGGTATAATGGTTAACCAACCAAAATTGAGAAAAATGATCTTCCGATAATTATATGCTACCAACAATCTGACCGGTAATGAGTAGTGCAATGGTCGCTCATTTTTCTATAAAAACAACTTCAACAACGTCATTCTTTTATTCATTCAAATAATAAAATACTTGAAGCAAAATATGTCTAATATTGGATCACAAAACAAAGAGTTGTCACCAGCTCCGGTAACAAAATCAACAGTACGAATAGTTATTATAGCATTATTGCTAGATCTCTTGGCCTTTACAATTATTCTGCCGCTATTTCCTAGGCTATTACAAGATTATCGAGAAAGAGAACAAGGAGACGAGGTATTAATCTATGAACTTTTCTTTAAATGAAAATCAATCAATTATTATCTGATTTTTGAAAATTTATTTAGACGACTTTGTTAAGTTGGTTCTTCTATCAAATACAAAACTTCAAACATTTAATTGGCGGTGGAAATAACGGTGGGAGTAACAATCCGAAATGGGATTTAGTACTTCTCGGTGGTGCTATTGGTTCTTTATATTCTTTTTTACAGTTTGTGGCATCTCCATTTATCGGTATTCTTTCTGATAGATATGGAAGGCGGAATACTTTGTTAGTGACTATGGTTGGAAAAATTAGTTGCTTTTATGACATTTCCGACTCAAGTTTTCAAATTCTCTAAATTCACCGGAGTTGAACTTAACCATGATTTTATAACTTTTTGTATTCTGTAAATGTTCGCGCACATACCTATTTTTACTCCGATGAATTTAAGATGCTTGAAAACTTTCGAGTGAAAATTTATGTTATTGATTTTGCTTTGCTAATTCTTGATATTGCTTTACTGAAGATCGGAAATATCCTTTCAACCTTTATATGGATTTTTTCTAAGTCATTTGGATGGTTTGTATTGTCTCGAATTGTTGCTGGATTAAGCGAAGGCAATGTTCAATTGTCAATTGCAATAATTTCAGATGTTACTTCAAAAGAATCAAGATCTAAAGGGATGGTTTGTAGATTAAACATTATTATATCAATGTATTTGAAAACATAATTATAAATTTAAAAATATTCTTTTATAGGCATTAGTAGGAATAGCATTTTCTATCTCATTTACACTTGGTCCTGCTATAGGCGCATTTTTTTCTTCTAAGGATTTATCACAAACATTCCCTCAACTGGTTGATTGGGGATTAAATCCTTATTCTATGTCTGCTTTAGTCGCACTTACTTTGTTGATCATAGAAACATTATATTTATATTTATTTCTTCCTGAGACTGTAGACTTTCATCGCAAGTCTCAAAGTTTACAGTCCAGTGATAATAAGCATCAAAACTCCAATTCAACAAATTCTTATCATCAAACAAATACTGTATTACAACGTCTTACAAATTTAAGAAATTTAAATTGGATTCATTTTCTATTTCTTTTTTTCTTTTCTGGAATGGAATTTACTCTCACTTTTTTGACTTTTGACCTATTTAATTTCACTAATATGCAAAATGGAGCATTGCTTGGATATATTGGAATATTATCATCAATCCTTCAAGGTGGATATGTTCGACGTAAGGCGCATGTAATTGGTGAAAAACGACTCGTTGTTCAAGGAGTATTGTCCTGCGCAATCTCTTTATCTATAATTTCTGCTTTAACAAGGACTTCAAATGGAATCCTGTGGCTTTATGTCGGTGCCACTTTTTTAGCATTCACATCAGCGACGGTAGTAACCTGTTTAAATTCAATAGCATCAATGCAATGTGATGATTCTGATGACGATCATGATGGTGAACAAAACATGAATATCATTTCAAATAGTGATAATTCACAATCGATGATACATAATTCTAGAATAGCTAAGGGACAAGCATTAGGGATGTATCGTTCGCTTGGACAACTAGGTCGTGCTGCAGGTCCAATAGTGGCGTGCGGATTATATTGGATGGCAGGATCTGAAAAATGTTACGGGGCTGGTGCTTTTTCAATGTTGGTGATACTTGGAATTGTGATCGCTAAAGTTCCATACATTTCTATTAAGAAACAAAAATCAGGATGAACTTAATATATCATCGGTCTGAAAAATTTCATTTCCATTATATAATAATTCATGTTTTTCGATTGACTATTTGTGTTATTCAAAAAAAAAAAAACGTTGCAGCTTTTAATTATGCAAAGAAGAAAGGGTATTAATTAGACAAGTGACATAGAAGAATTGCATGGTACTGTACATATGATATAAACTCGGCATTGTTTTAAGGGTAGTCTTTCGTGATAAATACCACGCCCTTTAGCATTCCAATAGTCTTGAACTTGATATATATGCGTATATTGAGTCACCTTATCTGATTAGTAATAATTTTATTATTAATTTATCTAAAGTTACCAATTCATGCTATAAGGGAAAGATTTATTAATAAAAATTTTATAAATTCATGGTCTTTTAATACTAAAAAAATCTTACAAATGCCTTGCTGTCATCACATTTTTTTACTTGTTTCTAAAAAATTGCCCATATAGGATAGGTGCAATAAAAAGAGACCAAATTAACAAAAAACAAGGTGTATGTTTATGTTATAAATCTAGATTAGGTTATACTTGAATTAATTTTGGATAACTCAAAAAAAAGAAAAAAAGAAAATGAGATTTGGTTTCTTTTTTCTACATTTAGCCCATAGACAATTGTTTTCTGTTCATATATTTTTAAATATTATTTTGTACAAATAGAATAATCTTATTATCCTTAAACCGTTTCAAATTCAGGGCAAATTTGCCCTGAATTTAACTACAAAAATGCTTCTGATCTAAATTATACATTTAAATAATTTTTTTTAAAATAATATTTAAGAATAAATGACATTTCGGTAAAAT